GATATTTTAGGGTCCCCCTCTCAACATTTTATAGAATAGATTTTAAAAAAATCACTGATGACATTGGGATTTGAACAATTATCAATCATCTTGACTTAATTGGTATTTATAGAGCACGGTGTTCAATAACTTAAAATTTATTTATTTATTTATTTGTTTATTTGTTTTGAGAGAGAGACAGAGAGAGTGAGAGAGGGACAGACAGAGAGGGAGAGAGAGATTACAAGCAGGCTCTGCACTGTCAGCGTGGAGTCCGATGCGGGGCTGGAACCCATGAACCGCAAGATCGCGACCTGAGCCAAAACCAACAGTCAGTCGCTTAACCCACTGAGCCACCTAGGTGCCCCTAAATTTAACATTCTTTTAAGGTTCACATGGTACATTCACCAAGGTAGACTAGGCCACAAAACAAGTCTCAATAAACTTTTTTAAAAGATTAAACTCATATAGAGTATGTTCTCTGATCACATTGGAATTAGAAATCAAAAAGCAATATGCTACTTAGGAAAATATTTGGCAGTATACTTCTTTTAATTTTTTTTTTTCAACATTTATTTATTTTTGGGACAGAGAGAGACAGAGCATGAACGGGCAAGGGGCAGAGAGAGAGGGAGACACAGAATCGGAAACAGGCTCCAGGCTCTGAGCCATCAGCCCAGAGCCCGACGCGGGGCTCGAACTCACAGACCGCGAGATCGTGACCTGGCTGAAGTCGGACGCTCAACCGACTGCGCCACCCAGGCGCCCCTGGCAGTATACTTCTAAGTAATTCATAGATCAAAGAAGAAATCACAAGGGAAATTAGAAACATTTTTTTTTATTAAAAAAAAATTTTTTTTTAATGTTTATTTATTTTTGAGACAGAGAGAGACAGAGCATGAATGGGGGAGGGGCAGAGAGAGAGGGAGACACAGAATCGGAAACAGGCTCCAGGCTCTGAGCCATCAGCCCAGAGCCTGACGCGGGGCTCAAACTCACGGACCGTGAGATTGTGACCTGAGCTGAAGTCAGACGCTCAACCAACTGAGCCACCCAGGCGCCCTGAAACATTTTTAATTGAATGATGATACGTATACAATATGCAATTTATGGGATACAGCTAACACAGTGCTTCGAGGGAAATTTAAGAGTTTTAAGTGCTTATGTTAGACAAGAAGGAAGATTTAAGATAAATGACCTAAGATACTACCTAATAAGCGAAAAGCACGTTCAAGGTAATTGAAAGGAAGGAAGTATTAGAGCAGCAAAATAGAAATCAGACAAGAACTTAGAAAATCAACTAAGCCAACAGTTGATTCTTTGCAAAGACCAACGAAATTGGAAAAACCCCTAGCTAGATTCATCCGTAAAAAAGAGAGAAAGAATAAATTTTACCAATATCAGGAATAAAAAAGATGGGTTATAACTACAGACCTAAAAGGATACTAAAGGATTAAAAAGGAAAATAGGAGAATATCATTAACGATTTTGTGATGGGGCACCTGGGTGGTTTAGTCGGTTGAGCGTCCGACTTCAGCTCGGGTCATTATCTCACAGTTCGTGAGTTCGAGCCCCACGTTGGACTCTGTGCTGACAGCTTGGAGCCTGCTTTGGATCCTCTGTCCCCCTCTCTCTCTGCCCTTCCCCTGCTCATGGTCTCTCAAAAATCAATAAACATTAAAAAAATTTGGGGGCGTCACCTGGGTGGCTCAGTTGGCTAAGCATCTGACTTTGGCTCAGGTCATGATCTCAAGGTTCCTGAGTTTGAGCCCCATATTGGGATCTGTGCTGACAGTGCAGAGCCTGCTTGGGATTCTCTCTCTCTCCCTCTGTTTCTTTCCCTCCCCTACTTGCACGCACTCTCTCAAAATAAATAAACTTAAAAAAAATTCTAAAAAAAGAATTTTTGTGCCAATACATTTGACAACTTAAAAAACATTTTTTAAATGTTTATTCATTTTTCGAGAGACAGAGAGAGACAGAGCACAAGCAGGGGAGGGGCAGAGAGAGAGGGAGACACAGAATCCAAAACAGGCTCCAGGCTCTGAGCTGTCAGCACAGAGCCCCACTGGGCTCGAACTCATTGACCATGATAGCGTGACCTGGGCTGAAGTTGGACGCTTAACCGATTGAGCCACCCAGGCGCCCTGACAACTTTTTAAAATGGAACAACTTCTTGAAAGCTACAACTTATCAAAATACAAGAAGAAACATAAATCTGAATAGTGTTGTGTAACTAAATTGCATTGATTATTAAGAACTTATCCCCTTACAAAATCCCAGGCCCAGATGGTTTTACTGGTAAATTTAATCAAGATGTTGTGATCGCAACCAGTTGTTTTCCAAGTTCTCCATCAAATAACTTTCATCTTCTACATATAACATCAGAGTAAAATAGAGTACTCACTTATATTTCAACACCACAGATCTTAATTCAGCAAATGGAAAACGCTGACAGAGATCTTCTGTTGTTAGAATCAGCCATTTTGAAGGCTGTTTGGGTGCTCTAGACATTAAGCTATTTTGACTTAGATTGAGCCGGATGAAGACAGTAGAAATGGAAATGAGAGAAAAAAATGAAAAAAAAAATTGAACAGAAAGAACTGGAAAAATCTAGCGACGGAAGGGAGGAGAGAAATGTGTATTACTATCTCTCAAAGGGCTTGTTAGTCTGGGATGTTTAGATATGCTGTCGGAAATTCAAGAATTCCCTGATGTTACCAGTAACTACGTTTGCATGTATTTATTTTTTCCTGGGAGTGGGTCCATAGCACTTGCCACGTTCCCAAAGGGGGCCAAGGCATCCAAAATTTAAGCCCCACTAGCCCAGAAATTTGAAAATCTAGGGTTTTGAGAGCATGCATAAATTATGATAGGTTGACAAAGAAGTCTGGAAAATGATTAGTTTCATTTTATACAATCTGAATTTTAGGAGTCCTGGTAAATTTTAAATAATGTGCCTGACAGGCCATTGAAATATGGGGCTGGAGAAAGTCTAAGTAGTCAAGGCTGACTTGGGGTATTGTCTTCAAATAAGTAGCCACAAAAACCTTTTTATCAGAATTCCTAAAAAAAGAGGGATACATTACCAGAGGAAAGGAAAGATAAAAAGAAAACAGGAATAGGGGCACCTGGGTAGCTCAGTCGGTTGAGCGTTCGACTCTTGGTTTCTGTTCAGGTCATGATGTCGCGGTTAGTGGGTTTGAGCCCTGTTTCGGGCTCCACAAGGACAGTGCAGAGCCTGATTGGGATTCTCCCTCTCTGCCCCTCTCGTGCTCTCTTTCTCAAAATAAATAAATAAACATTAAAAAGAAGAAGAAAATAGGACTAAAAATTACATCACAAATCGATAAAGAGTAACGTTAAAGGGAGCCAGTAAAGGGCTTAAATAATTTGGGACACCATTAGTTTTGGGTATCTAATATGGAGAAATCATTGTGCTATTTCCATAACTCATTTCCATACTTCTTGCTTTTTGGTTAATCATTTGCAGATTTCCACATTTACAAGATCAAAGGCATTATTCATTATGTTCCTCCAATGTGTCAATAACTATCTGGTTGTGTGAGAGGCGTTGCTTGTTGTTGGCATAATGGTGAATGGGACGCATAGTTACACCCCTCAAAGCCATAACTTCCTAGGGGGTGAAATAAACTCAATGTTTTGAGTTTTTCCCAAATACGCAATCTTTTTATTCCTTTTTTTTATTCCTACTTTATTTTGCCTTCTCTGAGCACCAACCTTTTGGGATAACCTTCTTCCCCCAGGGGCCTTGTTAATTTCCTGAACCTGCATGCAATGTGTGTGTCTATGCATATTTTTGTGGAGCGGCCTGTGACTTCTATCAGATTTTAGGATGTCTCTGGGACTTCCAAAAGTTAGGCACCATCAACTCCCATCTAGACTAGATCATCCCATATTTTTTTTTGGGGATGTAAAAAAAAATTTTTTTTTTTTTTACTAGTTAGTAGAGTCTCTTCTTTCGGTGCACCTTACATGCATTACTAGACTAATTTCCCGAAAACTCTATTTTCATAGGATTATTTTGTGCAGTATCTTCAGTGGCTCCTGATTCTGGCGTTTCAGATCTTCTCCACCAGCACTATTCCCCACCCAAACTTTCTCCTCCAGCTCAGTCTGTTTCTACCTGAACCCAACACCTACCAAATGCATTTACACACCTTGCCTTTGATCATGAGATCCCCACACATGGAATCGGATGCAGGATTTGAGGCCAGGCTAGGATTTTAATTTACTCCAAAGAGTTGGCAAACTATGTACATCAGCAATTTATTATAGAACGTTCCTTTATGCACTGATTTGTAATGTCACCTTTGTCATTTACTCAAGTGCTAATATAAGCTATGATCTGTTTCTAGGTGCTAAATGCTAATTTATATGAATTTATACTTCCTATCCCTCTCTCTTCTTTAGCAGCAAAAGTAGTAAATGTTTTCTGTCTCAAGATGACAGAACAGGCACACACCTGATTCCTATAACAGAATGGTTATAAATAACAGAAATGGTAGCTTTAAAAATCTTTATCTGCAGTAGAAAAGACTGCAAAGTAGAAAAGACAGGGGACACCTCAGTGGATTGACAGTGTAAGTAATCTATGGGAGATAAACAGAATACGGGACTGGACTGGAAAAGCACATGGTAAGACACACACATGTCAGTGATGGAAAGTCTTGCCAAGAATCCTCTTTGCCCAGGAACAGGAAGGGGTACCAAAGGGCAAGGCCAGTCTCCAACATATCCTGTACTTTTCCCCACATTGGCCCTCCCCACATTGGAATTGGTTATGGGATGGGACTGCCAGTCTCCAGGTAGGAGTGGCAAATAAGGCATCTTGGGAGACACAGGAGTGAGCTCCGGATTGCTGGCAATACCCAAGAGGGTCAGTTATCCTTTGCTCCCTGAAATCAGCTACTGGTCATCCTGTGCCTCTCCCCGAATCCCTGATATCAGATCAAAGCACACGTGTCAGCACATATCTCTTCTCTCCAGGCTGTGCTCACCTGTGCATCACATAGTCTAACAGGTCTCTACAAGGGTACAACATGAGGGTGTGATCAACAATCCCCTAACCTGGGAGCAACGTCTCCACCCCAAAAGGAAGACTCTAAACATACAAGAAAAGAACACATACTCCAGGAGACAATGTGAACAAATGAAAACGGGTCGTTCTCAGCAATAGGCAAAAGAATTTTCATTAGTTAAAAATAAAATAGGGGCGCCTGGGTGGCTCAGTCTGTTAAGTCTTGATTTTGACTTAGGTCATGATGTCACGGTTCATGGGATCTAGCCCCGCGTCAGGCTCTGCGCTGACAGTGTGGAGCCTGCTTGGGATTCTCTCTCTCCCCCTCTCTCCCTGCCCCTCCCCAGCTCATGTGCTCTCTTTTTCTCTCTCTCAAAATAATAAACTTAAAATAATCACCATCTCACACCCGTTAGGATGGCCACGATAAAAAAAAAAACAAAAAACACTACACACACATACACACACACAGAAAGAGAGAGAGAGAGAGAAAATAACAAGTGTTGGCAAGACTGTGGAGAAATTGGAAACATGCACGCTGCTCTTAGGAATGTATAATGCTGCAGCCCCTATGGAAAACAGTATGGCCTTTCCTCAGAAAATTAAAAATAGAATTACCATACAATCCAGCAATGGTGCAGCCCCTATGGAAACAGCATGGCATTTCCTCAGATAATTAAAAATAGAATTACCATGCAATCCAGCAATCCTGCTTCAGAGTATATATCCAAAAGAAGTAAAAACAGCAACTTGAAGAGATAACTTGTACACTCATGTTCATAGCGACATTTTTCATGATAACCAAGAGATGGGAGTAACCCAAGTGTCCATCAACAGATGAGCAGACAAACATTGTGTTGTATACACATACACTAGAGTATTAGTCAGCCTTAAAAAGGGAGGAACTTCTGGCACATGCTGAAACATGGATGAAACTTGAGGACGTTATGCTGAGCCAGTCACCCAAGGACATTAAGCCGGTCACCCAAGGACATTAAGCCAGTCACCCAAGGACATTAAGCCAGTCACCCAAGGACAAATAATGTAGGAGGTACCTAGAGTTGTCAAATCCATAAAGACAGAATGGTGATTTCCAGGGGATGGTGGGGGAGGGCGGGAGGAAGAAATTGGAAATTAGTGTTTAATAGGTGTGGAGTTTTTCAGTTTTGCAAGATAAGAAAGAGTTCCGGAGACGGGTGGTAGTGATGGTGGCATCACAGGCAAATGTTCCAAATGCCACTGAACTGTGCACTTAAAAACGGCGAAGATAGTAAATTTTATACTGCATACATTCTACAATAAAAAAATTAAATCACGAAAATAAACCAAAAATCAAATAAGAATATAGTTCATTAAGATTAACTCAAATGGGGGCACTTGGGTGGCTCAGTTGGTTAAGCACCTGATCAGGTCAGGATCTCGAGGTTCAAGACATTGAGCCCTGCA